TGAAATTCCCAGTCCCCAAATTAATTCAGCCCGCCAATTTCCCAGTCCCAGATTAATTCAGTCCCAGTCTGTAATTCCCGCCATAATATTACAGTCCCAGACTGAAATGTTTCGTCAAAATAATTTAGCCCAAGATTGAAATTCCCACGATTAAGAAATTTTTGTCAAAATTCAAAATTCCCGCCATAATTATTTAAAAGTTGGCATTCTGAGAGTTGGCATTTTGTCTTGTGGCATTTTGTCGTTTTGACATTATGAAATTTGGGATTTCGTAATAATTGGGTAATTCCCCTTACATTCTGACTTCCGCCCATTTTTGCAAATCATTTTAAATTTTTTCAGAATTTTTGTAAATTTTTTTCTCCCTCATTTTTATTTATTTTTTATTTAATTAATATATTTTTTTTAATTTTTATTAATTTTACCGTATCCTTGACCCGGTGCCAAACAAATTTCAGCCCCCCAAACTGATATTCCCAAACCCAAATATTTCAGTCCAAGACTGAAATTCCCAGACTCGAAAATTTCAGTCCCAGACTGAAATTCACTGGGTTATGAAATTTTTAAATTTAAAATTCCCGCCAATTAGTTGGCGTTTTGTCGTTTTGACATTTTGAAATTTGGGATTTCGTAATAATTGGCTTATTCCCCTTACATTCTGACTTCCGCTTATTTTTCAAAATCATTTTAATTTTTTTGTAAATTTTTGTACTTTTTATTTTCCCTCATTTTTATTTAATTATTTTTAATATTTTTTCATTTTAATTGACGGTCCCCAACATATTTCAGACCCTCCCCCCAATTCCCTGTCAAAAATATTTCAGTCCCAGGTTGAAACCTTGTACTTGTACCTTATCACATGTCAATCAATCATAACCTGTCACTTGTAGCTGTACCTTGTCACTTGTACCTGTCAATCACTCAGAAGCTGTCACTTATTACACCGGGAGCCGAACAGTTTCCCACACCTTTTGGTTTCCGCCGCCATTTGTTGTGCGGGAGCCGAAGAGTACCCCAATCTCTTTGTTTCCCTTTGTTATGCCGCATTTCCCGCTCCACTACTTGTACAAGTACAAGGAATTGTTGGTGTGGGAGGTGGAAACCTCCCACACCCTTTGGCTTCCCCGCACAAGTGCGGGGAAATTGATGGGGGGCCGGGGGTGGAAACCCCCTACACCTTTTGGTTTTTGCCGACAGACCCCTCCCCCTCTAAATGTCCCACTGACAAGTGGGACATTTGGGGGGTTGAAACCCCCCTACACCCTTTGGTTTTTGCCGCCAGACCCCTCCCCCTCTACAAAGTCCCATTTTCAAGTGGGACTTTGTGGGGGGGGTAACTACTCATTTGACTAGTATCCTTTGTGCCAAAGATATAAACGGGGAACACCAAAACAAATTAATTAGCGGAACTGACAGCAACATTGTAGCTAAGTTAATCATGAATACCCAATATGTTTTAGGTAAATGGATATCTAATGAAATATTAGAGACAAAAACATGCTTTCCAATACCTTATGAGAACATCACATTTCTACCGAATGAAAAATGCTACAAAGAGATTCCAATAAATGTTACTTTAAAAGAAAAAATAATAAAAGCATTCCTTGAACCAAAAACATTAACTATAGTAGAAAAATCGAGCGAAACACCCTGTTCATATGAGAGATTTATAACTATATTTATTGAGAAAAAATTGTTGAGAATTGATCAGAAGACGGGAAAAAGTAAAGAAATAAATGAAAAACAAATACATGAATTAACACTTGATCTACAAAAGCCGATACACATCCCTCAAATTGAAACACACGCATTCCACAACTTAATTATAAAGAACTATAGTGACCCTAGAATTGAAATTCTCCAAATGTTCCAAACCTATGGAATAGACAAAAAATTTGAACAAGAAAAAATTGAAAATGCAATAAAAAATGGAGAATACGTACACACCGAAGAATCAGTTAAAAATCCATTAACAAGCATTATTGAAAAAATTTGGGAAATTAATCTTGAAAAATTGTGGATTAGAATGGTAGCACTGTATATAACATACATCTGGCTATTCGACAATATTCTCCCTTTTCTACTTAAATACATAAAAAATACTAGAATCGGAAGATTCTTGGCACAGGTATTAACAATAATAGGAAAAACACCCGAATCAGAAAAAACAGAAGAAATAATCATGAACACAATAATGAGGAAAATTAAGGATGAGAAGAAAGACGAAGAAGAAAGAAACGAGGAAATACGTCTTCGCGCGGCCGCCAGTGTCGTGTAAGGAACACGAAATTATAATTATTAATAAATTTAAATATTTCTTCCTATTTTTCCCTTTATTTCACCTGTCCACGACAGACAATTTCATAAATTATTTTCCCATAAACATCCACTTTGACCCCTTCTTCTCTCTTCTTTTTTCCGGAAACTATTGTCTTTTCACCCCTCATTAATACTATTTTTCCTATCACTTCTCTATTCCTTATTGTTTAAATCTCTGCCTATTGTCCATTAAATCCCCTATATAAACAATAGGCAGATCTTCCCTATCACCTTCAGTTTTCAATCTTCCATTAATTCTTTACAAAAATATTTAATTGTATTTTTAATTTTAAAGATAAATATTTTATTTAAATTCACTTTATTCAATAACTCTTGGGACCTAGCTTCCCCAAAAAATTTATTTGTCAAAGTAAGCTTTTAGTTGACACCTTGTTCGCCTTCCACCCTCTTGATGGTGATCTTGTAGTAGCAGTCCCGGCGCACTCGGATTCGGAGCCTGACTGGTTCAGTACGGCGAGCACACACGATCCTGTTGAAGTCATCTGCTGTACGGATCTCCTAAAAAATTTTTGATAAGCATTAAAAGCCTTGCCTTCCTCTAGCAGATACCTCATCATTCAGGCCGATGATCTCATCACCAACGTAGAGAATGCCATTCAGGTAGGAGTTGTAGCCCACTTTTTTAACTTTCGGCGGCCTGCTCCTCTCAACGAACTCGATCCTTGGGTCGTATTGCTTGCGCTTGACCTCGACATTTATTTCGCTGACCGAGCCTGAAAAAATAAACATCAATTAGCTTAGAGATTAAGCAAAATCAAAGAAAGTCACAACTTACTTCGGACTGACATTGCGACTCAGAGTTGTTGAGCAGCAGCGACGTAGACGACAGTAGCGGCAGGAGACTTGTTGAGCAGCAGCGGCGTAGACGACAGTAGCGGCAGAAGTCTGTTGAGCAGCAGCGACGTAGACGACAGTAGCGGCAGGAGACTTGTTGAGCAGCAGCGGCGTAGACGACAGTAGCGGCAGAAGACTTGTTGAGCAGCAGTGGCGTTGTAATTGTTGGTTGATCTGTGCGGAGGTTGTTTCGTTGGAAAAATGACCTGTTTTTATAGTATTCGCATTTCTTCTCCGAATTAGATGTATTATAAAAGCAGTGGACTTATGCTTACTGCTGTTCCTGCCGCTGCTTTCTTCTGTGTCACTACAAATCTGTTTGTCACCGATTTGCCATGTCAATACGTGGTTAGTTTTTGCCATCATAAATTTTTCCTAGCGCCTTTCTTTTATTTTCAGGGTCAATCACCGAAGTGAGCGTCAAAGTCACTCGCCGGTCCACAGAGCCCAGAATCGAGTTCGTTGATGGAAGCAGGCCACCCAGGGTGCGCAAAATGAGCTTCGACTCCTATTTGTATGGGCGTGTCTACGTTGGCGATGAGATCATCAGACTGAATGATGAGGTATCGGCAAAGCAAAAGTTGGACCACTTTTTTAATGTCTGTTTCCTTTTAAGGAAATAACAACAGCTGAGGACTTCTACCGGATCGTGGGAGTAAGCATCAGAGAACCTGAGAAATTAAAAATCCAGGTTCGTCGCGACACTTTCTACAGGATCACAATCAGGAAGTTAGAGGGAGAATATCAAGGCAAAGATGAATGGGAGCTGTTCGACTTCGAGATTAAATGGCGGCGAGGCGGTATGCCTCTTGGGGTGAACATGATAGAAGTTCAGGTGAGCGCTTTAGCGCTAAAAGCGAAATGTATCTTGTTAATTTCAGGATAACGTCACAATCTGCGGCACTGAGGCTGGATCAATTGCCGATGGTAACTTTCATTATGGGGACGTAATAACGCGTGTGAATGGCAAAAAGGTGGATGACACTAAGAGCGTAAAATCTGCAATACTTGAAGGAATAAACAACAACAACCTAACCATCAGAGTAGCGCGCCCGATTCCAAAGGTCAGCTCTGATAGTCTTCCAGCCGATGTAACAAGGATCATCCAGAAAAACATGAATTTCCACCGACACAGCCATAAATATTCGGCAATCATCACATCAACTGAACGGGATGCTCCAACATCATTTATCGGGCGCATCACAGGACGTGGTGGATCATCTCAAAGATCTTCTCGTCGTTCAAGTCCAGAAGGTCAGTTGTGTTCGGCTAATTAAATAAATAATGTCTAACGCTTTTTTTCCAGTTAGCAGTGCCAGAGTCACAATTCAACGGCCCTCAAAAAAAGATGTGAAAGACATCCCAACTGATACAACAGCAAACTTAATGAGAACTCCGCCAAGAAGGGGGTCACAACCAGATGATTCTTGAACAAAAAGTGTGGAGAATGATGTGATTTTCGATGAATAAAGGGAATGTTATACATAATGTTGTTATTTGTGTTTGTATACTTGGATTTTTCTAAATGTATATTGTCATAAATTTCTGTATATAAAATTGTTTTTTTGTTCATATTTATTGTAGGTATATTTGAATAAGTATCTAAAAATAATTTTTGTACTGCTAATTTTTTTTCCAAACCTAAAAACTCGTAGTTTCCCGTTTTCTTAATTAACAATAAAACTGTTACCGTTTTTTCTTCTTACACTCAGCTGTCGGCGTTCAAAAGGATGTTTGTAAAAAATAATTTTTGAAAAATTAAAAAAAAATTTTTTTTAATTTTCGTGATTTTTTGCCTTAAAATTTAGTAGTTTATTAATTTAATTATGAAGTCTTCACATTCAAATTCCCCATTGGTTACTGGAATTTCTCCACATCAAGGTGTTTTTAGCCGATTTTCACTCTCTTGACACATATTTTTTTCAAGGTTCACCTGGAACACAAATTACAATTCGTGGTCAAAATCTTGGCGAAGATCCAAATGATATTGTAAATGACTAAAGAAATTTTTTAAAAATTCAAAAAAAAATTTTTTTTCAAAAGGTTGCCCTTATTATCTGTGGAACAGATTGTTTAGCAACTGCCAAGTGGAAATCTTCCTCAAAAATTGTTGCTAGATTGGGTGGTCAAGCAAAGCGGGGTGTTGGTGATATTTTAATAGTTACTAGATCTGGTGGGAGAGGACATTCAGAAGTTCAGGTTTGCTTTGAAAAAAATTTTTTTTTGTTAATTGTTAGTGCTTTTGCGGATATTTCGAATTTTGTAATGTTTTTCTTGGGTCAATTTCTTAGAGCGAATTTTTCGTAAAATATCCTGTCATAACATTGTTAAAAATTTTTTTGTTAAATTTTGACCATTATTTAGAATTTTGTGGTTAACTGCAATAGTCCGCAAAATTTGTCCGCAAAGCTTGTCCGCAAAAACTTGAAAAATATCGTCTTTTTATTTTTTAAAGTTTCGTGTATTTATTGAACAAATTGGCCCTCTTCAAGAATCTATAGTTTGGGTAGATGAATCTAAAACAGTTCCTGGACGAAATTTACTTCGAAATGTTGGCGAAACAAATGATAATGAGGATGCTTTAGAATTGGGCGTTGACCCGTTAGTTTTTTTTCTAAAAAATTTTTTCTCATTTTAAATTTTTAGACAGAAGAAATTGGATCATTCGACACTTTTAAAATATTTCCCAGATTCTTCTGGAAGTAGAAAAATGGATAATTTTAACCCTCGATGGTATTTGTTGGAGAACTACAAAAATGCAAGGTACATTTATTTTTTGGGGCCAAATTATGGGACTTTGGAAGGCCAGATCAAAAAAGGGCTCAAAATCCTTGCTAGGGACATTCTCTATCGAATGAGCCAAGTCTCGACCGTTTTCAGGTTGGACACCTCGCAACCTTTCCTTGTTAATAGAGGAGGGGGATGATCTTCCCACTCCCTACCTACCCTGTCTACGGGCCTATTTGCAGTTATCCTTTTCATTATCTCATTTTATATTTTCTCCCTCAATTTTTAAATTTAAGCCTATCGGACTTAAAACGCGGACTCAAAAACCTGGAAGAACGAATCCAACGAGAAGACCAATCTTCAAAACAACTACACAAAGCTAGTCTTTTCCCATTAGTCAGCTGTGTCGATGCTTTAGCCAAACTTCAATCAAAAATTCAACAACAAAAAAGAGCACAAAAAGAAGCTGGAGGTCAATGGCCAACAACAATAAAATTATCTGAAAAATTAAATTTGGCAAGGGAAACAGCAGATCAACTATTTAAAGATGTTTTGGCGAGGAAAGATGCTGCGGATTCAACAAGGAATGCTTTGTCTGTGCTAACACGTTTTCGATTTATTTTTTTCTTGGCTGAACAGATTGAGGACAATTTGGCGAAGGTTTTTTTTAATATTTTCTGTTTATTTGAGTTAATGGTTAGAGAGCGGGCTGGATACAGAGTCCAGATCAAGACATTTTTCCGCGTTCCTTGATTTTTCCTTGACTCAAGGTCAAAAATTTGGTCAAGGTACTCAAATGAAATCAAGTTCAAGGTTTTTATTTGAAAATCTCGCTATCTATTAATGATTTATGACTGTCCTCTCTCGTCATTTTCAGATAAAAATTGATCGATATCTATTTTTATCCTCGTTTTTATTCCTCCATATTTGGACGTAAATTTTTAAGAAAGTTGTTTTGGATACACCAATTGAATTCTTAATTTTAGGGTGAATATGCTACCATTTTGAATGATTACGCTAGAGCAAAGGCACTTTTCAAAGACACTGAAGTTAGCTTGTTTAAAGAAGGTTTTCTTTATAAAAATTCTTTAAAAAATTTGTACTTTACTTTTAGTAATGGCTGTGCTTGACGAAAAAATAGACAGACTTCGAGGAATTATCAGAAAACTTTTGGTTGATATAACAACTCCTTTTGAGGAACAAAGCCGCCTGATAAAATATCTCAAAATTTTAGATCCCGAATCTGATCCAGCTTGGGATTGTATGATGGCATATCACGGTTGGTTGGAAAGTATGTTGTGGGAACTTCAAAGGCAATTTCATGCTCAAGGTTTTTTTCCCTGATTTTATTTTTATTTTTCCTACTTAATAATTTAGAAGAGCAATCACTTCTTCGAGAAGATGCAAATGCTACCTCTTCAATTTCTTATGATCTAGATACTCCCAGACCTCTTGGATATTTTCGTCAAGCATTTGTTACAGATTTGTTGAGTTTATTAACAGACAAACTACACACATTTTGGAAAATTTCTCAAAATTTTGCTGTGACTGGTTCTGGCACAACTATTGCATCCTTATTGCCTGCTTCGCTTGCTGAAGCTACAGAGATCCAGGAACGTCAAATGGATATTGATGTAAGTAATAAAAATTTAAATACAGTCTGATTTTAACATAAGCTTCACTCTTTGAACTGGAAAAAATTGTACCGTTATTAACCTGGGGTATTTTAATTGGGGCTTAGTCAGCTCTCACAACCGTTGGCCAACTAAATTTAAAAAAAAACATATCTTAACTTGAGAAGTACCTAATTTTGTGATATCTAAAAATGTTTTCACCTTTATATTTTCGATAATTCTAACAAATTATTTTTTAAAGCAAATGCTTGCCAATACAATAAACGTTGCTTCTTGGCTTTTATTAAATGCTCTAGTGCCTGGATCTTTACCAGAATCAGTAACAAAACAACATACTGATGATCAATTTGTTCAATGGCCACCAATAAATTCAGCTGCTCAATGGAATGTTATGTTTTCCTCGATTAAATTACTACGGTTTTTTGAAGAAATTTCCTTAAATTTTTTCGAATTTTTTAGAAATTCAATAAAAGCATTAATTGATTGTCAATTAGCCAGGCATCATTTACAACCACTTTTTGAGCTTTGTACAACAGTTCGCTTAAAATGTTTGGGAATGCTGGTTGAAAGAGGGAAGGAAGGTTTTTGCTTTTTCAATTTATTATCTTATGGCGTACCCAAGAAGATTTTTATTCCCTGAAATGGTGATAACGGAAACCTGCGGGAGATGACTATTAAAAGTGTTCGCCTGAGTTAGTGCTCTCCTGGGATTCTAGCCTTAGGCATGTTCTCGTATTATTTCGGGCTATTTTTAACTGATATAACGTTTTAGCGAATTTTTTTAATGTTTTTTGTTAAAATTTTAATTTTTTTTAGCAATTATTGCACTCGGAACTCACGAAAATTGGCGTGTTGATTTAATTGCTGATGTGCCTAGAACTGCTTTACCTGACCGTTTTGAGGCTGAATTAAATGAATTATTGCCTGATATGAAATGTATTCTTTCTTATGGAAATTTTCCTGGCGAAACTGATCTTTTTGTTAGGGAGAAGTGGAGACATATGGTAGGAAAATATTTTTTTACTTTATAATTTTTGGTTTTATATGCGATTTTAAAGTTAGTAAAATTTAAATAGATCCAAATTATTAAAAAATGAAATAAATTTTAAAAATCAGGGAATAAAACTGTGTATTGCCACAGCTTTTCTAAGGCCTAACACTACATACATATTTATTAATCACCCAAAAATTCTCAATTTTAAGATTACTGATTTATTTACTGTTCTTTTGCTTGGATTCCGTGATTGTTGTGATCATTTACTTAAATTAAAAAGCCAAAAAAGTCGTCAAAATCAACAGAAAAAAATTTCAACGCAATCAACATCTTCAACAATAAAATCAACACAAAGGCCCACAACTCTTTCAGCAGATACTTCTTTAATTTCAAATGGATCTATTGAATTAGAAGAAAATAATGAAATGAAAAATATACAAAAACAAACAATTTCTCAGGTTTTAAATTACAATTTTGAACAAGTTTAGACCAGACATGGTCATGGATACGGATATGGATACAGATAATACCAAAATGCCTGCGGATATCCGCCTGTATCCGTCTGTATCCGCCGTAGATATCCAAATACGGATATCAAAATCCGTGTCCCAGTCTGGTTGTTAGACATCCTTTTGCGACAGAAGGATGATCCAATTTAAATTATTAAATTGAATTAATAGACTTTATTTTTCCGGGCGAGATTGTCATAAATTTGTAAATTTTTTAAATTAGGTATCTTTGTTAATTTATTCGGTCAACCCTCATTTTTTTAATTTAATTTTGGCATGAATCCTATTTATTAAATAAAAAATATTAAATGACAAGGCCATTTCGAATATTTGGAATTCTTTTCATTTTATTTAAAAAAATAATTTTTTTTAATTTATTTAGGAACAATTAAGTAGGCGATTTTTAACAGTTATTGCCAATATTGAATTTTTACTTAACCATTCTTTGTCGTCAATATGTCGTCGTTTGGGAGATAATGGACTTAAATTTTCTGAGCAAGTATTTAAACATACAAAGGTTTTTAATTTTTAATTAAAAAATATTTTTTTGAATTGAAATATTGTGGGTTCCCCTTCTAATTGTAAATTATTTGCCCAAATTATTTTATTTTACCCAAATTATTAAATTATTTTACCGAAAAGGTCGGGCAAAAATTAGGTGTCCACCAAAGCTGCGTCGAAACTTAAAACACATCGAAAATCGAAATTTCGGGCAGCTCTGGTGCCCGACCATTTAAAAATTTTCAAGGATTAAAGAAATTAAACGAGAAAAGTAGAAAGAGAAAGGGGATGATCTGTAGCAAAATAATTTAAAAATTTAATTTTTTAACTAAAAAAATTATTTTTTCAAGGATAAATTAGTAATTTATCGTTCCTCAATATTATCTCATTATATAAAAAATAAATCAACACAAATTCATTCAATTATTGAATATGCAAATTATCAACATTTACCAGATGATGATGATGTTTCTGAATTTGTTAAAGAATTGATGCTTTGTACAGTTTTTGTTCAATCAGAAATGGCTTCTTATTGTTATAAATTTATACAACAAGTATATATTTTTTTAAAAAAACAAATTATTTTTTTAATGAATTGTTCTGTGGGAACAAATCACATTTCATTAAAAATATCCTCCAAACTGTATTGTTTGGAAAATCTTTGGGTTACGAATGATATTTTAGGACATGCCCAAGTAAGCGACCTGGCCATAACAACGCAAAGCCATAACTAACTGTAGGATTTCTGACCCTTATTAATTTTAGTTAATACTAATTTTGTTAAGATTCGAAAATCTTAAAGCAAGTTATGGCTTTGCGTTGTTATGGCCGCGTGCCTACTTGGGCTAATTTTGTTAAGATTCCCTGATATTTTGTCCGTAGTGTTTTGCCCCCCGCAAAGTTTTTCCTTTTAATGTTTGAGTTTATTAAATTATAAGTTATTCTAGACAAATTGCTCATTTTTGAGCAAATTTTTCCGATTATTCTAAAACAAATTATTAGAAACTTGCCCAAAAATAAAAGAAAATTGCCCAAAATTGGGTAATTTTGCAGGTATCTTGTCTACTTCCAGGTGCTCGGTGATCTCGTCAAAGTTGCTCTTGAACATTTATTTAATGTTTTGGCTCGTGTAGATTTTTCTTCTTCAAATCATTCAACACAAGTAATTGTTGATTTGACTGCTTTTGAGGAAGCTTTTCAAGGATTTGTGACAACGGATATGAGGTAGAATTTTTGTTTTTGTTAATTTTTTGTGGAGAGGGAATTACCTCCTTTCCTATTTGATGTGAGGGAAGGAAGATTATCTACTTACGAAAATAAAGGAATTTAAGGGAATCCATTTTTATTTGATTCCCTGAATGTTGTTACGACAATTGCGGATACGGTCGTGCGGATTGCGACAATTGCGGATTAAAATTTTTTTTTAATTTTAAAAATGATTGAAATGATGTTCCGTTTTTTAGTCCCGGCTGTCAGTTTCCGACTTGTGACGGTTTCCGAATCATTTTTAGACAGACGTGGCACTTAAAACTTTAAAAAATTTTAAACTTTTTAAAAATTTTATATTCGCAATCGTCGCATCCGCACGTGCGTATCCGCAATTGTCGTACCGCCCCCTGAATTTCTTAAAAATTTCTTTTAGGTGAAAATAAGTCTGAGGGAACTGACTTACTTAAAGATTTTTATAAAAATATTTTTTCTAATTTTAAGTAATGCCCTCAAATCAATTAGAGCACGTTTAATGAATCGTTTGGATAATGGGTAAATATTTTTGTTTAATTTTTGTTCTAAAAATATTTTTAAAGAATTTTTAAAAATGCTTTATTAAACTTCCGATCACGAATGGCGTTAACTTTGGATAGTTTACATCAATGCCAAACAAATTTAAATGATAATAATGAAGATGGAGGAGGAGGAACTAGTGCTGGTGGTGGTGGGGATAATAATAATAATTTGACCTAAAGAATTTTTTAAATTATTTTAATAATTTTCTGAGTATTCGAAAATTCACAAAAAAAATATTTTTATTGTTTTGATACCTCTTAAATGACAACTCATCCCTACTTTTTAGACTATTAGCAGGTTATTTTTGTTCCACCGCATTTTTAATTTCATCTTTTTTGGGTACTTGGTTTATTTTTAATTTTTAAAAAATTTTCGTTTTAATTTTTAAATTTTTTAAAATGCCGTAACAACATTTACGAAAAATGTTATTTAAAAATTAAAAACTAAATCATCTGTTGAATTGTAAGAAGAGTTCATGAAGGATTAAAAAGATTAAAAATTTTGTGGAACAAAAAGTAGCTTACTGATTTAAAATTACGGAGGTGCTAAATCTTTGACTTTCAGTTCTAATCATTTTCTTTTTTTAAAATCATATCCATAATTATATTTTAACTTTTCTGTTTTTCTGTGCAAAAATTTTTCTTTTTATTTACTAATTGTTAAAATAAACATTATCTTGCCTATATGTGGGATTTTTATTTTTAATTATTTTAATTAAAAATTTAAAGCCTTATGAATAATTTTAATTTTTCTTTTAAATTTTATTTACTTGCCTCTCTATTTTTTCTTATTTTTATTTAAAATTTTTATTTAATTTTTGAAGTGCTTTTATGTTAAATTTTTGTATATTTTTTTAATTTTATCAATAAAATTGAAAAGAAAAATAAATAAAAATAAAGGTTAATTGTGTTAATTAAAAGAATCGATTGAAGAGAACAAAATTTAACAAAGAATTAAATTTAATTAAGAGAGAAAAGTAATGAGAGAGATCATAATTTGTGAATTGACACACATAAAAACCCCTTTAAAGAGATTTATTTAATTGATATAAATCTCTACGCTCCTATAATCAGTCAACAAATAAATATTTTAATTGAGAGAAGCAAGGCGGCAGATTTATTATTATCAAATTTGAAAAATAAGGAAGGGATTTAACTAATTGCACAAACAACTTAATTAATTATTAAATTATCAGAAAAAATTATTAAATTATCAGAGTGTCGGAAATTGGGAGAGTTGAAGAAATTGGTGGTTATTTCCTTTAAAAGAATCCCCTAATAATTTTTTTTATTTTCCTCTGATTCTCCAAGAAAATTTACTTATCTTTTAATTAGTCTAAAAATTATTTAAACTTTCCAAATTTAAAAAAATATAACAATCTCTTTAACTAAAAAAATAAATATTTTTGTTGTCACTTCTCTCTAAATATTTACATTTTTTTACCAAAAATATTATGTATATTTTTATATAAATTCATCACAAGCGTTCTTTTCTCGAAATTATTTTAACTACCTCCCCCCCCCCCCCCCCCCCGAAGAACACAAAAAGCATTCCAAATAGTCAAAGCTTTCTTTTCGGTAAATTTCTTAAATTTGTTTTTCTTTTAAATGACCCTTCTTTTATTAATTTGTCCTCAAAAGATAATTTATTTTAATTGACTTGGTGAAAAATAAAAAAAATTTTCTTTTTTTAAAAATAACTAAAATAATGTAAAGAAAGGAAGTCCAATTTTAATTAACATTTATTAAAAAAGGTGCCTAAACTTTTGTTTAACTCCAAATTTAATTTTAAAATTCAGGAAAAAATTTTTTAAATTAATATTAACTAAAAATGTGTATTTTTTTTTGTTTTTCTAACGAAAAAAATAAATTTCCTATAAATGACATTTATTTGTTAGTTGAATTTACACAAAATTTTGGACGGAAAGAGAGTTGATGAGTCACAACAATTAATGTTTGTTTGTATTTATATTTAGTGTTTATTTTATAAATATATAGGCCGTATATTGAATGTTTTTTAACAATTTTTCATTGATTAAATTAATCTCAATTAACACTATTTTTGGGTGTCTATTCAATAAAATTAATCAGTCAGACAATAAAAAATTATTTTACTGCTATTCCAAATACTTTGTTTACTCAAATAAAATTATTCTCCATAAGTGGGGTCGAACCTTCGTTCATTACGTTATAAATCTAAACATTTTCCCACTACACTAAAATGACTTTCGTCTTGGGGTGGTTGAATTTCGTGTTGGGTTTAGTCCACTTTGTTAAGGGATCTTTAAAAATTTCGAAAAATTTAAACTAGGGTAGCACCACGTCCCCCAAAACCTGACGAATTTTTAGGCAAAAACCCCGACTCGTCCCCGAAGGCTCTTCCCTGGCAAACCTCGACACTCCCGCCCCAAAGGCTCGGAGTGCTACCCTAATTTAGACCTTAATAATCTCTAGGGTTTCAGGCTGGTGTTGACCTTGACCATCTTATTTATTGAATAAAATATAAAATTATTTAAATCTTCGAATGTCTTGTGCCAAAATTAGTTTCATTTTTACCAAAAATTGCCTACCCAAAAAACATTTTTTTCTCCATTTTCCTCTACAAATCCAATATGTATATCCCTCTACTTTTTATAAAAATTAAAATAGAGGTCGTTCTATATATTTAAATCGATCAAGCTTTCGCCTTTCGCGCATCTCTTTATTCCTTTCCATGTATTTTTAATGTTGAACATCTCCTCCCCTCCTCTATTTTGACTGTTTACATTTTATTTTTCTAAATTTGCAGCGATTAAAGTTTAAAGGAAATCAAAATAAAATTTTAAAAATTTTTTAAGTAATTTTTATTGTAAACTTAAATGGTGTTAATTTAAAAATTGAAATTTATTCACAGCAACTTAAAATAAGCGGAGGGTGCAACTCGCCTTTCAGTGGGGGAGTATGGTTTAGTTGGTTAGTGACAGCGAAAAATTAAAGAGGTTCGAATCCTTTCGGTGAAAATGAATTATATAAAATTGAAATCTTAATAATATCGTTCCTACTTAACATTTAATGGCATTTTAAACTAAATACATTTTTTAAATAAGTTTACCCTATATTAATTCAACCCAAGAGATCACCACCAAGAAAATCAACATTCCCATTAGGGTCTGAATTTTGCGTGTTTTATTTTTTGTTTTTTAATTAAATTTTTTTTCAATTTTTTTCTTAATGTAAATAACATTCTAAACATATTTGTATATTTATTAAGAGTTGAATAAACATTTCGGGCAAGTACTCGACCGAGTGACTTTAAGAAAAAATAAATATACTTGAAAATACTTTTATCTCGTCCAATCCTTAATATATTTAATTTCTTGTTTGAAATTATTTTATTCACAAAAATAGCTAAATTCCGGAGGAAATAACCTTTAAATAAATTTTTTTAGATAAAATACAAATTAACTACTTAAAATTACCACTAACAACAAATTTCTCTAATTCTCTTCAAATTACATGCTATTTCGCTTTCTCTAACTTAAATATTTTATATGGCTAAATTACTTCAATTTTCGCAGCTTTTTAATTTTCCTGTTGCTTTTGTATTATTTCTATTTTCAATCAACAAAATTGGATTTATTTGTGCCTTTTCACAACCACAAGTAGAACCGACTGGGCAAAATGTCTGCACTTTTGAAGAAGAGTAATTGAGGGAAATTTTAATTTTTTTAAATAATATTTTTTGTAGACAAGAAAAGATGGTTTTCAAGAAAGTTGTGAGGCCCGTAAAGATTGTTACTACTGTTTGGTTTGTTTTTTAAAAAATTAATTTTTGAAATTAAAAAATATTTTTTGCGGACACTTTTTGCGGACTTTTCATTTTTTTAGGTGTCCAGATATTACAAAAGGATTTAAATGTCAAATGAGCAAAACTGGATCTACAATTTCTTACAAATCTGTGCCTGAAATAACAAAAGTTGTCATTACAAGGTTTTTTATTAAAATATTTTTAAATTCTTGGTTATATGTCCTAAATTTTGAATTCATTCGAAAATTTTTAATTAATTTTAGGTGCTGCAATGGATATTTTCAAGATTCGGACAACACCTGCAAACGTCAGTTTATTTTTTTAATAAGAAAAAGTAGTAGAAAATATTTTGAATTTAGGGTATTTATTAGAAACATTTTTTGATTTTTTGGGATGAAATGTCCAACTTTAATTTTTTCATAAAATTTATGTCGAAAATTACCCTAAAAATATTTTTTTTTTGTCCTTAAATTTCCTCCACATAAATTTTCTCTTAAAAAAATTTTTTTGAAAATTAAAAAAAATTTTTCAGCCGTCTGTGATCTTCCTTGTCAAAAAGGACGGTGTACAGAGCCCAATCATTGCACCTGTGATGATGGTTGGAGTGGTGATACTTGTGCTTTAACCTGTCCAACTGGCACTTGGGGACAGCAATGT